TCTCACAAAAAATATAAGATTTACTGTTATGCAGACTACTGCATTAGTGTAAAAAATGGTATAAATATTATTGGTGCACTTGTAAAAGAATATTAGACTCACCAGTTGACGTGTATTGCACGCTTGGCACGATTTGTTTACTTTTGAAGTTTGGTAAAAATCGAACATTTCTGCTACTTTGAGCTCAATTTCAAGGCACCTTTCATTGTAAAACCAGTCAAAATCATCTCAATTTCTGTAATATGTCTTCCATTCTATAAAATGAGACCAAGAAAACTAGAATACAACAATAAATACCATACGAAAATACACTGCAAAGTCGCTGATTTATTAAAAAAATGGTCAAAGTTTTTTTTTTCTCATTATGCACTGTGTGCTGCAGGATTTTTTTTAGACTGTGCACACTGACCACATAGACCCATTCTTTCACATGAAGGCCTACCAGCTTTCTCCCACTAGATTTGAGGCCGCTAGAATTTATGAGTACTAGTACGTCAAAAACCCCTACGCGTAAAACGTACTAGTACGACCAAAACCCTCAAAGGGTTAAAGGTCCCATCAGGAAAAGGATCTGAAGAATACAGTAAATTATAGCCTGAGATAGGATAGATAACGGCAGAGTGTAATTTTGGTTCCTGTAAGCAAACACCAACAGGGGAAAACTGGGAGAGCAACATCTGAAGCTCACCCCGATTACCCCAGAGGCCGCGAATATTCCACTGTAAATAGGCCATGATTGGCAACGATAAAGATACCTGAAATCCGCAGGTAAGGGTACTTACGGACTAGAGGGGTTAGAAAAGTCCACATGCGGAGGCAAAGGAAAACGTTCGAGTAGTGAAGGAATGGCGTGTTGCGAAGAAAGGAGTTGCACAGATGGAGAAGAGGAAAGAGAAGGAACAGAGGGTGGATCAGTGTCCATTGATGGTTTGGTCTCTGCAATATATTCAGAGATTGCTTCAAGTGTTTCGGAGTTCAGAGACGTCGTATGGGAGACAATATTGGAGATGGAAGCAGGAGGAGTTTGAGTAAAGATCGGAGTTGTAATGGACTGTACCAAGGTAGGGGGGCCGAAAGGGTGGAAGGAACTGGAGAAGTGTGGGAGGGGACAGAAGAGGCAGAAACCTGAGAGGTGGCAGAAGAGAAAGAAATTTGGGAGGGGACAGGGGAGGAAGGCACAGTACGAGGAGAAGGATGAACCTCCACACTTGTAACAGAGCCAGTGAAAGGGGAAGACTCAGGTACAGAGACCAGGAAGGTAAAATGTGGAGGTGGATGAAGGGAAGGAGGGGTTAAAGGAGATTTTTTGGGCCTCTGAGAAGTAGAGGGACGATTGGTAGGAGGTGTCGTACGAGGTCTTGTTGATACTGGGGTTTGTGAGGGAGGACACTGTTACGTTGGTATCCCTTATTACTTTGATAGTAAGGTTCTCACTACATGTTCTAGTGTGGGGTAGCTTTTACTTAATGGCCTTATTTGTCTAGGGGTAATACATCATGGCTGATCATCTTGAGTGTCTCTGATACCCTTTCACCAGCCCTCTTCACAGGTTATGTAAACTACTACTATAAAAATATAACTGTATTCTCAATAGATATGTACAGAATATACAATCACAGCCTCACATTTTCAAAACAGAAATCTACACACTCCATATCTGTTCTCCCACATGGTGTATCCCAACAACTTTTGTCCTCTCTTCTTGACATAACTCTGGGCTAACCAGTGTTTTGACACACTTTAGTCACCCTGGGTATGGTGGCCACAACTTAAATTATATAAACTCACCCCTGGAGCACACATGATGCCCCAAAAGATAGAAGAAGGACCCAGAGATCCTGCCAGGTTGAAGGTCAGCCACAGAGAGAGAGAGTCAGTGAGAGGGAGAGAGAGAGAGAGAGCCTGGCTAAGCTCCTCCCACCAAAACAAAAGACTGTTGCCAAGCACAATTCTCCAGTTACCACAATTCTACCACACCTTAATTTTACTTTTACAAAAAGAAATACAACTTTATAAACTACTTATTTAAATTGTGTGTTTATGTGTCTATAGTATAACCTATTATATTGAGAAAAATAGGTTTGACCCAGCTGCCTCTCAGTCATAAGGTTGATCAGTCCTTCTGACATTTAGAGCAAAGTCCCCATCAGTTCAATATAATTAGGTATTCCAGAGTAACTGTTACTTATAAATACATGTTGGGTCCTATAGCCCCATAACAGACACGAAGAAGTGAGGACAGACTGAGGAGTTGAAGTAGGGACTTCTGAGCCCAGGACAGCAAAAGAATTAGATACAGGAGTGACTATGGGACTGGCAACCGCAGAGGAGGCTGCAGAAGATGTGACCCCAGAAGTGGGGGGACGCTTTGAAACACGAGAATAAGAAACACGGGGCAGTCTCCCTTGGAGGCGGAGATGAGAAACTGCAATAGCATAAGGGAGACCTTCTGCCTCTTTGAGGCAACGAATTTCCCGCTCACTTAAGTAGACTTGGCAACGGCGAGAGCACGAAGGGTGAGCCTCATGACAATTAAGGCAAGAGGGAGTTCGACTGCAAGACGTATTAGAATGGTCATCGGCACCACAGACTGGGCATTCGGCTATAGATCTGCAATATTTTGCTGGGTGACCAAATCGCCAGCAATTCCTACACTGTAGCGGTGTAGGGATCACCTTCCGAACTTGTAACTGATATCCTGCTACATAAACAGAGGATGGGAGTTCACGGTTGTCAAAAGTTAAACGTGCCACATTGCAAGGGTATCGTCTTTGCCAGCGGGCAGGAAGAGCATAAGTGAATACCTTGAGAATTGGGAGATCTTGGAGTTCCAGCTGTTCGAGAATGTCAGTGCCACATGTCTGGAAATTCTGTTGGACTATGGTATGGTGCAGAATAACAGTACCACTACAAGAATTGAGGGAATGATGTTTTTCGATAGTGATAGGAATAGTATCGATATGTGAAAGAAGAGAAAGATCATGAGCTTGGGTAGAATTCTGGACTGTGATGATGCGCGTACCACTCTTAAGAGCATGAAAGGAAATCTCTACCAACGTGGCATAGGAGCGCTTTGCCAATACTATGGTCGGAAAGATAGGCAGTAGAAGCGATCTTAATGTAAAGAATTTAGTCCATTGTGTGGTCTGAAACTGAGTGTGGAGAGGGAGTGCATGACGTGTCGGTCTTTTCCGAGTAGAAAGGGAAGGTAACGAAGTAACATCATTAGGAGATTGTCGTTGACGTTTAGAAGTGGGACTAGAGTCGGTCCGACGTGGGACGGGCCGGCGATTCGAAAATCGCCGCACCATAAAGGGAGAAGCCGGAAGCATAGTCAAAGGAGAGCGGAGGTCAGACAAATCGAAGGAGTCAGTGGAAGCCCCGGTACCTGAAGCGGGTGAGGAAACAGCACCAGCTGTGGTGCTGTGGAGGGTGGCTTTGGGTGTCTTTCGGGCGACGGGTGTATCTCTGGAAGCCACCTTTCGGATTCCAGGGGTGGTGGCCGAAGGTAGTGGTGGGTATCCGGCTGCCCTCTCTTTTGTCCACCGAGGTAGCTCGGCAGATGTGAGGTTGCTATCCCGGATTGCTGGTTTACTGGCATGAAGGGTAGGGTATGGCACGGGCTCCATGCTGCATCTGTGCTACTTGCGGTGCTGAGGTCCTCTTGGGTGCGGAGGGAGATTTCTGGCCCATTCATTCCTCCTAGGAACTATCCCTCCCTGAACCCCCCTTTTTTTATTCTTTTTTATTTTTATTTTCTTAAAAACAAAAAGAAAGAAGTAACCTAAACATGGAGTCCCCAATCCATGACCCCGCTACCCCCGGGCCCCTTATTGTTACCGCACCCCGTTCTGACCTCGCCTTGTCTTTTGGCCACTCTTCGGACATTCCTAATAGAGGAAATCAGCTCTATATACATTATTTAAGTATGCATAGTGGTCAGAGAGCCAGTCGTAAGTCCAAGTCATCAGTAAACGAGTACATTGCTAAATGTGGAGAGGCTGTACTAAGTCTGGGACAGGGAACCATGGTTACCTACACCTGACTTCCTACAAATAAGTACTGTCCTACTCACCTCTTCCCCTACATTAAGGCTACAAATATTTTAAGGTAAGCAATGCCTGTACTGGGCATGTATTTGACTTTTTATTATTTTTTAATGCCTAGTTCTACTGTTAGCTTAATATGTTAGTGTAAACTTGTTGTCTGGCATTTGTATTCATTTATAAATGAACAAATGGCGTTCTGCTTTCCGGCGATGTCCACTTTCAGGTAGTAGCCTGGAACCTAACCTTCCATATAAGTGAGGCCCTACTGTACAGTAATACATAAACTCAATACAAGTCATAATAAACTATCATCAATGAATAAGGAGAAGGATGAATGAAGACCTAAATCATGGTTCTCTCACATAGCAGTTCTAGCGCTGCACCACTAGGTTATAATGTATTCATGGGTTTTTCTATATATCAATGACAAAACAGAGTTAGGATTTAACACGTACAGTCTCAAGACAATAATTGAAATGACAATGTTCAGGCAGTGTTCATTGACATTTCATTTAAAAGTTCATCATTGATGTGCAGTTCCTAATTTCCCAAGGAAGGCTATTTCAAACTTTCAGTCCCAGCATTTGCATAGTTTTTCTACTTAAGATTCAGTCTCACACACTGCATATGAAGACATTTTCTTTCTGCTACAATGTTTATCAAATATTTTTTTTGTGGAAAATTTTCCAGGGGTAGAAGAGAAAACTGTCTTTGGCATTTCTTTGAGTAATCATGCCTGTACATCCCAGATATTATTCCAGAATATCCATATTTGCAGATTTGAAATGTAATATTAATACCTATTAAATGTGACTTATATGTAATCCCAGGGAAGGTATCACAATTTCATATCAGAAGTACTAAACCTCTACTAAAATATTATACATAAACATTTTGTACCGACAAATGGACACAAGAAAAAAATCATGGGATAATAAAGCTACATGGAAATACAATAGTTTTAAAGTTTATTCATACAACATATATACAACTACACTCTTAAAGCTGAAAGATTAGAAGAATATCATAATCAGACAACTCTAAGATCAAAGGAAAGAGGGAAATTGATTTTTCAAAACTGCAACATATAGTGCTATACAGTACTCAGTGAGTGTTGTCTTTGTAATACCTGAGACCACAGTAGATGCAATTATGATTCCCTGGTCCATCCTGAAAAAAAAAATGTAGTATTGGTATCGTATATTCGTGGCCAAAAAGACAACCATTTTAACCAAAAAAAAAAAAAAAATGCAACAAGTCATACTGTGAACTAACACCTGTGATATTATGGTATGTATATACATATATATATATAAGAATAATGAATAAATCCATGTGCAAGAAACGAGTATCTTTAGTGAAGAAACGTTCCATACTTCCCTCCTGGAGTACTGATACAGTGGACCCCCGCATACCGCTGGCATCACATAACGTTAAATCCGCATACCGATACATTTTATCGCTAAGATTTTGCCTCGCATACCGCTAAAAAACCAGCTCAACACTACTCATCAGAGACGCGTCTAATGTGCGGCCTGAGCCAGCCTCACACGTTCTGCCGGTGGCATTGTTTACCAGCCAGCCTCCGCGGTAACATCCAAGCATACAATCGTAACATTTCGTATTATTACAGTGTTTTTGGTGATTTTATCTGCAAAATAAGTGACCATGGGCCCCAAGAAAGCTTCTAGTGCCAACCCTGTGGTAAAAAGGGTGAGAAATATTATCGAAATACTGTCGTACCATGGTCAACTGCTGATGCTGCTGCTGCTGTAGCACTGTCAGCTGCTGCTGCTGCTGTAGCACCGTCAGCTGCTGCTGCTGCTGCTGTAGTACCGTCTGCTGCTGCTGTATCATCGTCTGCTGCTGGTGTAGCATTGTCTGCTGCTGCTGTAGCACTGTCAGCTGCTGCTGCTGTATCATCGTCTGCTGCTGGTGTAGCATTGTCTGCTGCTGCTGTAGCACTGTCAGCTGCTGCTGCTGCTGTACCACCGTCAGCTGCTGCTGCTGCTGCTGTATTACCGTCTGCTGCTGCTGTAGTATCGTCTGCTGCTGCTGTAGCATCGTCTGCTGCTGCTGTAGCATCGTCTGCTGCTGCTGCTGCTGCACTGTCAGTTGCTGCTGCTGCTGTAGTACCATCTGCTGCTGCTGCCGCTGTAGTACCGTCTGCTGCTGCTGCTGTAGTACCGTCTGCTGCTGCTGCCGCTGTAGTACCGTCTGCTGCTGCTGTTGCTGTAGTACCGTCTGCTGCTGCTGTAGCATCGTCTGCTGCTGCTGTAGCACTGTCAGCTGCTGCTGCTGCTGCTGTAGCACTGTCAGCTGCTGCTGCTGCTGTACCATGAGCTGCTGCTGCTGCTGTACCACCGTCAGCTGCTGCTGCTGCTGTACCACCGTCAGCTGCTGCTGCTGCTGTACCACCGTCAGCTGCTGCTGCTGCTGTACCACCGTCAGCTGCTGCTGCTGTAGTACCGTCTGCTGCTGCTGTAGCATCGTCTGCTGCTGCTGTAGGACTGTCAGCTGCTGCTGCTGCTGCTGCACTGTCAGTTGCTGCTGCTGCTGCCACTGTAGTACCGTCTGCTGCTGCTGCTGCACTGTCAGTTGCTGCTGCTGCTGCCACTGTAGTACCGTCTGCTGCTGCTGCTGCTGTAGTACCGTCTGCTGCTGCTGTAGCATTGTCTGCTGCTGCTGTAGTACTGTCAGCTGCTGCTGCTGTAGCACTGTCAGCTGCTGCTGCTGCTGCACCGTCAGCTGCTGCTGCTGCTGTACCACCGTTAGCTGCTGCCGCTGCTGTAGTACCGTCTGCTGCTGCTGTAGCATCATCTGCTGCTGCTGTAGCACTCTCAGCTGCTGCTGTAGCACTGTCAGCTGCTGCTGCTGCTGTAGCACCGTTGTTGGTGTGGCGTATTGAGAATACCAAGAAACAATTAACCCCAGAGGGTTAGCCACCCAGGATAACCCAAAAAAGTCAGTGTCATCGACGCCTGTCTAACTTATTTCCATTGGGGTCCTTAATCTTGTCTCCCAGGATGCAACCCACACCAGTCGACTAACACCCAGGTGAACAGGGAAAATCGCCTGGAACTAGTGCTCATATTGGTGAATTTAAAGCCAGCAAAGGTTGGTTTGAGAGATTTAAGAATCGTAGTGGCATACACAGTGTGATAAGGCCTGTTCTGGAAGAAAATGTCAAACAGGTTAGGTTAGGTAAGGTTCGTCAGGAAACAGGACAAATGTTTCCTGACGTGGGTCTTAGTCAGATGATGACCCGCCTTTGGAGCTTTTGGTCATCTGACCGAGGCCTTCCGCTGGCTTACCGGTTCACCCCTTTAAAAATTATGGTCATTTATAACCAGGTTTTTTTTTGCCAAACAGGACCTACAGTACTCAGGAGGAAAAGGCACTCCCAGGACACAGTGTCTCATCAGTCATTGCTGCATCTTCAATAAAGGTAAGTGTCATTTATTCTTCATTTAGTAGAGTAGTACATGCACAATATATACTGTGCATGTACTATTCTACTACTGTGCATGTATCCTTCTTTTTGTGTGTAGGAAAATGTATATTTCATGTGGTAAAATTTTTTTTTTCATACTTTTGGGTGTCTTGCACGGATTAATTTGATTTCCATTATTTCTTATGGGGAAAATTCATTCGCATAACGATAATTTCGCATAACAATGAGCTGTCATGAACGAATTAATATCGTTATGCGGGGGTCCACTGTAATTGCACATTGTGGAGTAGGGATGTGGGAGGGGTGTGTGACAAGCAGGAGTTAGTGAAGTTGGAGGTTAGAGCGAGTGTCAAGGATTGTGGATGGAACAGTGATAACAGTATTTTCTCCACAATTATCACTACTCCATCATCCACCCTCATCATCAAAGCTTCCAGTGGCTGACACATCACTCAAATATGTACCCAGATGTTGCACATGTGTCACATTCATAAACATGTCAGCATTATGCATCTTCTATCTAATTATAATGGGAGTAATCCTGAGTATGTAGCAATAGTATTGCTAAATATTAATAGTCCTTATATATCTTATGTAATTTTTGTTAAAAGATTCATTTAACCCTTTCAGGGTCCGTCCCGTAGATCTGCGGCTTCACGTTCAGGGTCCAAACCTTAGATCTACGCCAAAATTCTAGCGGTGTCAAATTTAGCGCGAGAAGGCTGGTAGGCCTACATCTGAGAGAATGGGTCTGGGTGGTTGGTGTGCATACCATAGAAAAAATCTGGACGCCCGCATGGCATTGTGGGAACGCCGGAAAAGTAGCTTTGTTCATTGTGCCTGGCGGCAAGGAAGCTCTCACTCCCCACTCACTCTCAGGGCGAATTCTGACTCTCCTCTTCACAACTTACAGTTCTAAGACTGATGGAAATGGAGATGAAGACTAATTCTATGGTTTTGAACCATATGGTACCATTGTGCCATATGGTACAATGGTACCATATGGTACCACTCTACCATACGATGCCATTGTACCATATACCATATGGTACCCTGTACCATATGGTACCCTGCACCATATGTCATCCTGTACTGCATGGTACCCTATACCATAAAGTACAATGTACCATATGATACCCTGTAACATATGATACCGTGTACCATATGGTCAATAGGTGTTGGTGGCATGAGACACCGGCCAAGACTGAGTGAGTGGCGATGCAAACTAGCTACCGACTCTGCAGTTTCCGAGACAAAATGCTTTGTCATCCACCTCAAGTTCCTGTACACTTGTAAATATATAATAGAACAATACTAATATACAACATTTTTGTTGTAATCAACTATTGTACACAAAATAATAATAAAAATATTAGTGTGTTTATTGTGTTGAATACAACAGTACCATATGGTACAATGAACCATATGGTATCACTGTACTGTATGGTACAATGTACCATATGATACCATTACACCACATGGCACCATAAGGTACCATTGCACCATATGGTACCATTGTAACATATGGTACCATTGTATCATATGGTACCATTGTATCATGTGCCATTGTACCATATGGTACCATTGTATATGGTACCATTGTATCATATGGTACCATTGTACCATATGGTACAATTGCACCCTATGGCACCATTGTACCATATGGTACCATTGTATTCAACGCAATAACCGCACTAATATTTTCATCATTTTGTTTACTTGTAAACAAGTTTTGTAAGCAATATACGTGTAATGATAAATTAGTGCAGTTATTGTGTTGAATACAATGAGTGTACACTTATACAATATACATTATACTGGTCTCACAGGCCACAAATGTTATTAGAAAAAGAAAAAAATAGAAAAGAAAAGAAAAAAGTATAAAAAACGTAAAATAAAAAAATGGGATTTTGCGATAGTCACTGATGTTGCCGCCACCCGGTCATTTTGGGTCAACTTCTCGCCGTTGTATCTCAGTAAGTACTGATCAGAAATTTTTATTGTCTTATTACCTTCACAAAAATATACTCTTTAATTCTGTAAGAAAAAATAATTTTGTTTTTTTTCAAAATTTCTTGGACACTGGAGCACCACTTCAGATTTTGGCCTTGGACCCTGAAGGGGTTAATTTTGGGGGTTGCAACAGTGAAGGGGTTAATTAATTTTGGATGCAATTTTCAACTGCATTTACAGAGAAATTACTTTGCAGAACTTTATAAGAGAACTTACTTTTTAAAATATTAGATTGTTGAATCAGAAAATATAATGTAGAAATAAGAACATTCTTTAAATTTTTATGTAAGAAATTCAGTTTTAGTGCACAAGCATTGGTATGTTTCTATCTTAACCCTTTGACTGTTGCGGCCGTATATATACGTCTTATGAGGTACCGTGTTTGACGTATATATACGTACTCATAAATTCTAGCGGCTTCAAATCAAGCAGGAGAAAGCTGGTAGGCCCACATGTGAGAGAATAGGTCTGTGTGGTCAGTGTGCACCATATAAAAAAAATCCTGGAGCATGCAGTGCATAATGAGAAAAAAAAAACTCCGACCGTTTTTTTAATTAAAATGCCGACTTTGTGGTCTATTTTCGTATAATATTTATGGTTGTATTCTTGTTTTCTTGGTCTCATTTGATAGAATGGAAAACATATTATAGAAATAGAGGTGATTTTGATTGATTTTACTATAAAAAGAACCTAGAAATGGAGC